TAATAAAAAAAAAAAGGGGGTGGTAGGAGAAGTGAACACTCTTTCGTATTCAGAGTTAAATGTCAAGTTTTTCCCTGAGTGCTCTGTGTTCCCTTCTCTGAGGCTATGGGTCCCTATAATTACACCAGTGGTGGTACCCCCCTATATATATATATATATATATATATATATATATATATATATATATATATATATATATATATATATATATATATATTAGGCATATGTTGTTGAATATGACCGAAAAAGTAAGATTAATAATTCTAACAGGAATTTTTTCGATATTTTTAATGTTTTTCTTCACTGTCGGTCACACATCAATAATCTTTGTGTCACAAGTGATCAACAAGAGGCTCACAACAGTCACTATACAAGGCACTTTACATCTATAGTGAGTCACACAGTTACTAGTCTTGCTGCACACCCACCCAACTGGGCGGCAACTTTACAGTCATATGCATGCATTACCTACAGTAAGCAAATTTTGGATACTTCGCTAAGATTTCGGGCAGCACATCATTATGAATGAAGTACTTACACATTTCTTGGACACTATTGATGGTGTTATCTCTAAATTCTGCAATTTTTTCACATTCCATTATATAATGACGCAAAGTATGCAAATAGTTCTGCTGACAGAGTTTACAATTAGTCTGTACTAAACCGACTACTGTAATCAAGACTACGAAATAAATATGAAACTCACTAAACATAGTGTATTTAATCTACCCAACAACCTAACTTTAATCGTACATTACAATGTATTAGTGTCAACTTATTAATGACTGTAGAAATAAGGAAATAAGTAGTGTATCACATCAAGTTGTTTGGATGTGTGATAATGGTATGATAGACAGAATACTTAGGAGTTACAAGAATTTTGCCCCAAGAGTGTAACACTTGCATGCTGTGCTTCCCATATAAACCTGCAATGTTAAATAGGATTCTTGTATTGTGATTTGTGTACAGTGTATTTGTATTCACTGAATTTGTGTGCCCCTTCCCCAGCTTCCATGGAGTGCTACTATGTCAATATTCTCTCAAAGAGTATAATAGTGTACATCCTCTGCTCTAGTTTCTAACCCATTAACGTTCCAAGATAATATCCTCACTCTACTTTCATCCATGATTAATAATAAAACTACCTTTGCCCTGTCCGTCACATTCCATGAGATACTAAAGTACCTCAGACACTTCCTCCCAACACTGTAACATTTTTGCTTTCTTCTCACTTGCACAACAACAACTACTATTTATTTATTTATTTATACAGTATACAAGAAGGTACATTGGGTTTCTGAGGATACATAGCATGATATGTACATTCTTGTAAAGCCACTAGCATGCGCAGCATTTCAGGCAGGTCCTTAATCTAACAGATAATTTTAAGTAGGTAAATTCTAGCAAATTTATAAAATGATAATAGGTACTGTACATTGCAAGAAAAAAATGAGATGAGAGAGATTAGTAGGGATATTAAAGAACATCGGTAGTTCTGGTTGATTGCATTGACAGCTTGATTGATAATTTAACAAAGATTAATAGGCACAATACAACAAATTGATAGCAAATATAAGAAGACAGCAATGATCATAATGGTAAAGTTGTTTGGATTAGGTACATAGAGATTGGGTAGACTAGATACAGTGTAATTTTAAATCACAAGGTAGGAAACTATAAAGATGAAATTAGGTGCTTTTTAGTTTTGTTTTTGAATGAAGCAAAAGTTGGACAGCTTTTCAATTCATTAGGGAGTGAGTTCCTTACACTAGGTCCCTTTATTTGCATAGAGTGTTTAGACAGATTAAGTTTGACTCTGGGGATATCAAAGAGATATTTATTTCTGGTGTGGTGATAATGGGTTCTGTTACATCTGTCCAGGGAGAGTTTCAGAGCAGGGTTTGCATTTAAGAACAGGGTTTTGTAAATGTAACTGACACAAGAGAATGTGTGGAGTGAGTTTATGTTTAGCATGTTTAGGGGTTTAAACAAGGGGCTGAGTGTTGTCTGAAAGCAGAATTTGTTATTATTCTGATAGCAGATTTTTGCTGGGTGATGATGGACTTGAGGTGGTTTGCAGTGGTTGAACCCCATGCACAGATGCCATAATTAAGATAGGGATAGATAAGTGCATAATATAGTGAGATGAGAGCAGAGTTAGGTACATAATATCTGATTTTGGAGAGTATACCAACTGTTTTAGACTTTCTTAGTTATGTCTTGTATGTGGGTGCTGAAGTTGAGTCTCTTGTCTAGGAATAGGCCGAGAAACTTTCCATCATTTTTATTACTGATGTTAACATTGTCTATCTGAAGCTGAATTGCATTTGTTGATTTGCTTCCAAATAAGATGTAGTAAGTCTTTTCTATGTTCAGTGTTAGTTTGATGGTTGATATCCATAAGTGAATTTTTTTAGTTCATTATTAACAACATTATTTAGTGTGTGTGGGTTGGGGTTTGAGTAGATGAGGGTAGTATCATCAGCAAACAATATAGGTTTAAGAATGTTAGAGACATTAGGCATATCATTGATGTATATAAAAAATAGGAGAGGTCCCAAGGAATTTTTCACCTTTTTCAATCTTGACTCTACACTCTTGCGAGTCACAATACCTACACCTGGTGTCAAACTGGCATTTCCAAGCCATATGTCCCCAACGAGAACACTTCATGCATATTATGGGCTCCTCAATATATTTTGCAACTTTCCTGTAGTCTGGCCCTTGCACAAAAATTCTTTTTAGAGCCTCACCCTTTAGCAAGGCAACAACCTGGCTTTGTTTATAACCATGAAAAGTGTTTCTCTTTGCCCAAACAACACTATCATTGTTGAAAAGAAGATAATCAGGAACCAAGTAAGTTGGATACTTAAAAACTATGACCTTGGTGTGCATCATACCTTCTTTCGGAGTAACCATCACAATATTTTCAAACCTAACCGTCGTTAGGTGTTCCACGGCCTTTTCTGTTCCAACTGTTAAGTAGGGCCAGTGAACACCCTCCTTGAATAGTGGTTCATATTAAAAAAAAATACTTAGCCAGACGAACCGTCCACTCCACTTTTTGATTAAAGTTCAGTTGGCATGTTGTAAGGAATACCAGCCGCTTCCTTCTATTAATCTGCCCTACCACTTGGGCTGGACAGTAGAGCGACGGTCTCGCTTCATGCAGGTCGGCGTTCAATTCCTGACCGGCCAAGTGGTTGGGCACCATTCCTTCCCCCCCGTCCCATGCCAAATCCTTATCCTGACCCCTTCCCAGTGCTATATAGTCGTAATGGCTTGGCGCTTTCCCTTGATACTTCCCTTCCTTTCCCTTCTATTAATCTGCGTCTCTTGCATCCTGCTGGTTAGGGTTTCCTGTTGAGAATGCCTGGGAGTTTGCATCACTGGATTCTCCTGTCATGGATCACAGCAATTTTTCTGTTGCTTTTTCATTTCATCTTCATTGTCACTGTCTCGCTTTCTGTGAAAACTATGCCGTTTCTTTTTGGTCATTGCTACTTGATATGGCCTGGTATCATCTTGTACTTGAAAGTCATCCTCACTCTCATAACCGTCAGGCCTAGTGCCGAATTGTCTATTACTGAGGCAGACCGCCTCTGCCATTTCCCCAACACGCAAATGCAGTGTATAACTGTAACAGTTGAACACAATTTCACAATATCCAAGAGCGCTTACACTGCGACCGCACATGACTGTGAATTCGTGAATCTCTAATAATTAAGCAATATATCAGAGTTTAGTTCATTTATTATGAACCCCGTATCCATCATGTGGGCGGTAGTGGAAAGGGTTACAGAGGCACATAATGGGCTCAGGGACTGAACCCCAAAATTCATTTAGCTAAGCAAGTTACAATCATGCTGAGCTAGTTACAAAATTCAATATATGTTGTCACATCAAAAATAGATTCGAGATCGACCACAGAGAGCGTGTAGGGTTCAGTGTTCTATGAGCAAAAAGGTCATGAGTAGTTTAAGTAGCAAACGCATACCAATGAATCAGTTTAGTATCTATATACCAAAATTATAATTGTGTGGGGTTGATTTAACTTCCAGACACGTTTTTGTTAATAAATATTAAACGTTTTTGTGGCTATTTATAAAAGATATTATTACAAATACACATTCTACTTGTTAATACCACCAATTAACTTTGCAACAATTTGAGCCAAGAAGTGCGACAACTGGATCACTGTGTACAGGAGGCTGATATGCCAGCAAACTCTCTCCAGGTGACAATATATCTTGGATAAGTCGCTCCACAACATTGTTGCTTGGACCCTCGACTTCCTATGGCGTCACCTTTTACATATTTACTTTTAATTTCGTTATGAAATTAGATTATTTCAGAGTAAAAATAGGTTTGATCATTATTGTGCTACAGTTATATATAGTTATGCATATATATTCATGCACCATGAACAAAGTAAGAGAACTATACTGTAATGTTAGTAATTTGACATGCATTAGTCATAGGGTCAGGCTAGGAGTTCTATTGATTTTGCATTAATATTTGCTAAAGTATAATTTTGTTGATACTTCACATGCCTTATTAATTAGCTGCTAAAATGTTTCATTAAATTTTCTAGAAGAATTATGTTCTCTATGAGCAGTTTGTAAAGTAACTCATTTCTGGTTCAATGTAGTTGCTACTGCAGCCTAGCATTTTTAAAGTTATTTACTTTTAAATTTTCTAAGGCTATTTATATTATAATGTGATCATTTGACTTTCATTAAGTAATTTTATATGAGCAAAAACAGGCATTCACTTATAGAAAATTAACCAAACTGAAGTTTTCTAACAACCATTAATTTAAACAAATGTTGCAACAGGTAAAGCCAAGTAAAGTTTAAGCTGCTGTCAACAATATCACCATCTTTTGTACTACTAAGAAAACTGAATTCTGAAATAGAAAATCCTTTTAATATGAAAACATTACTATTGTTGAAATAAAAAAATGTACTGCATAGTAATTGAGCATTTCAGACCGCATGTAACTAATAATTATTTTATAATTTTATTATGATCTGCATTTCTCAAATTCCTTTACATATTCCCTTGGTACAGTTGTATATACTACCAGTTAGTTCTTACTATAAAGCTGCTATAATGAAGGACTTCATTGAACACAAATTAACAGAATTAAGTAAGCTACATAAATGGAAACTGTGTGTAGTCAATAAAGTGAATAACCATAATTACATGAATTACATACGCATCAGAATTTTAACTTCCATGACAGAATTACAGTTATGTTCCGTAATAACTGAGAAGGTAATAGATTCTACTGATGTCATGAGAGTAAAGATTAATACAATATTCTAAAAGAACTAATACTATACCACTGATTATCTTATTGCTAACATTATACAGTATATAGTTGGGCTTCGGTCTTCAAAAATAGCAATTAGTTTATGTCTTTAGCTGAAAACTTAACACTGTTAGATTGCTTTGATGTTCTAGTCAAATTCTACTCCAACCTGTCGTCTTATTTGCTCCATGACTTCAGCAATAGTAAGAGACTCTTTGTGGCTCATCCTTGGACTCTCCAGCAAACCTGCCGCAACAAACAAAATTCAATAAAGTTTAAAAATAATGTTATTTCTCCTATTTATGCAAGAATTTAATTGTATCAATGAGTATAAATGTTAGAAAACACAATTACTGTTCCGTATTGCAATCTTCAAATATTATGGCGTACATGAGCCTTTTGTTTTTTAATATCCAAAAACAAATGTAAACACAAAAAGCTTGAATCTTCTAACTTTGTAATGTTCTAATGTTAATGTTCTTTTAATGGTTTCAGTGTTAAATTTGTTTAAATTTGTCTCCCAAAAAATGTAAAACTCAGTACTGTACACTTATTATTTTACGTTATGCCCAAAATGCTACATATAATTAATGATTTTATAAAATACTGTATAACAATACACTACCTGCTATGTAACCAATGTAATCTGATCCCCCTGTATTTTTATCATAGTTTTATTATTATTATTATTATTATTATTATTATTATTATTATTATTATTATTATTTCAACAAATCTAGTAGTAATTACTAACCTTCTTTAAGACAGCGTCTCACTTCAACTGCCTCATACATTAATCCTTGGCTATTAACAAAGTTGAAGGTGTGACCTGTTTTGGGAAGTGGTGACTCAAATTTTCCTGATGGTGACTCCAGGCTTTCAGGACACCACATGGGATAGTTAACCTGAAACAAAAAAATAAAATATATATACAATCGACATTTCCCACCATTCACATTTTCGCAATAATAAACATAATTAATAGAACATTTTTATTTACTGTATCTAGGTTTTCAGGGTACAACAAGCAACTTTGGTAGCCAAAGGGCTATAATACACATTGCCTGCAACCAGGGACTGTGATATTAAATCGGAGCTTGTTACATAATCATATAGTGCCAGACTTAAAACTGTTCTGCATGGTACATGAAAGCCACAAAAACACACAAACAGCAATAAAATATCGTCGTCTCGCCCTTCATCATCGTCAAGACCGAAACGTTGTCGTCTCTTCACTTTCTAGTGTGTGGTTTGGTCAACAGAAATAAAACAACCATTTATAAGGAAGTAGGTCAGTAATTGGCCTAAGAGTGTTACTAGTGGAGTACCACAAGGTTCAGTTCTTGTGCCAGTAATGTTCATCATCTACATAAACAATCTACCAGGAAAAATTCTGAAGTATGAACATGTTTGCTCATGATAAGCTCCTAGGGAAGACTGGCGACCTAGATGATTGTCATGCCCTTCAAACTGATCTAGATCAAATAAGTGCTTGGAACACCATGCGGCAAATGGAATTCAATGTGAATAAATGCGATGTTATGGAATGTGGAATTGAAGAAAGTAGACCACACACCTTACAGATTGTGTTAAAAAAAAATTAAAGAACTCTAACAAAGAAAAATCTAGGGGTGCTTTTGGATAGACTGTCACCAGAGGAACACACAAAACATTTTGCAGAGAGCATGTGTGTTGCTTTCCAACTTCAGCTTCGCTTTTAATTACGTCGATGGTGAAATATTAAAGAAACTGTTCATGAATTTTGTGAGACCAAAATTAGAATATGCAGCAGTTGTATGGTGCCCATGTCTCAAGCACATCAATAAACTGGAAAAAATGTAAAGCATGCTACAAAATGGCTTCCAGAGCTGAAAAGCAACGAGTTACAAAGGGAGGCTAGAAGCATTAACTATGCCAATGCTAGAAGATAGTAGAAAAAAAGGCGATATGATCACCACTTGCAAAATAATAAAAGGAATCGACCAGACTGACAAAGAGAAATTCCTGAAACCAGCAACTTCAAGAACAGGAGGACACAGATTCAAACTCAGGAAACAAAGGTGCCAAAAAAATATTAGAAATTTTTATCTTTGCAAACAGAGTAGTAGACAGTGGGAACAAGTTAAATTAAGTAAGAAGATGATGGTGGTGGAGGCCAAAATCATCAGTAGTTTTAAAGCTTTAGATGCCAGAGTACTGGGAAGATGTGACACCACACTCATAGTTCTCATCCTGTATTTACTCTTAGGTAATTACACTTTAGGCTCGTATCGAGGTCCCCCCCCCCCAACATTGAACTACTGACCATTCCCAAGATGCAACCCCACAAGTTACCTAACTCATGGGTACCCTGACTGCTAGATGAACAGAAGCATTAGGTAAAAAGCTAAGTGCCCAAATCCATAAGGGCCGTGTGGATTTGGTCATTTGATGCATCAACTATTGTGATTTCTGTGTGTAAGGAAAGTGCCCAACCATTTCTGTCTTCTATAGGAATCAAACCCAGAATCCCCAATTGTGAGTTGAGAATGAAGTCAACTGTACTATGAGATCCTCTTAGTATAATATTAAGCGTTACCCTCAATAAATTTAGAGGCACATTATCTAAATAATTTTAAGTTATACAGTACATGAAATATTTTGCATATTAGTGGCTTTATATAATGTACAATTTCTGTACCTACTAATTAACCACTGTAACATATTCATAAGTATATTTTACAAATAAAAATTAATATTATTAATTATTTCTTGTGATAATCAGTGAAAACACTAACCTTGATAGTGCCCTTAGTGCCAATAACAAAGGCCTCTGAAGGCAACCATGCCCTGATGGTGGAACTCAGAGAAGCCAAGCGTCGTCCAGAGTAGACAAGCGAGACACTTGTTGATTCTTCTACACCCTGGCAACATAAATGGCGGTAAACATTTTAGACTTGAGAGATTATCTGCAACTGCAATTCATATATCCTAGTATATACTGCATTATATGTTAAATCTTCAAGGAACATTCTTAAGCATAATAATACTAAATACATGCAATACTTTAGATTTGTAAGGTACTGTACTGAAAATGAGCAAAATTATTACTGTACTATACCAAAACACCAGCATTAAATGTAATGAAATGCCATTTTCTGGGTGAGACTTGGAGGCTCCCCAGAGCTATCCAGGCTGAATGGATATGTATAACTTTCTGGCATCAGTGAATGTGCATGGAGTTCTTGCCTACCGGGGAACACTACCCAGAACCTGGCCCCCTCAGAGAGGCGCGAGAAGCAATGGCCTATAGAAACTTCCCTGTGGTTGGGAGCATTCGATGTTTGCCATCGATCGGGTCTGACACCCAGAAAGGTAGGTGTCCCAAAACAAACCCCTATTCTGGTGAAACTATTGCTACCGAAAACTGAATGAGTGGACAGAACTCCCAAACGAAAATTAGCAAACAATCATGACGTCATCACATCGCCGCACCGTCATTTGAGCAACCTTTTCCCTCCCTGAGAGGGGGAAGGTTGCTTGTGGAAGTTTTCCACAGGGAAAACTATCACCACGAGCTGAAATGCAAAGCGAAAAACAGCAACCCCGCAACCCGCAGGAGCAGTGCAACCAGTCACAGTAGGAAAAATGACGCACTCATCTCTGAGTAATATATGAAGAGAACTACACAGGACGAGTACCACCCTAAAACAAAAATGGACGTTCCTGAAAAAGGAACACAAAGAAAAGGTTGAAGTCGGGACCAAAACCTAGCTCCTCCTGCCCCAACGAAAAAGGAACCGTAGGGGCAGGAGTGGTTGATCGGAAACCTACATCTACTCGCAGACTAAACAACACAGTAGCAGGCAGGGACACAAGGTGAAGATGAAAGAACTTAGTTCCAGAACTGAACCCAGGGGCAGTCCAATATCAGGGAACAGAACATATACATAGTCCAACCTAGCACCAACAGCAGTATAGCCAATAAGCACAAACCAAGACACACAACAATGTGTAGTAAAGAGGAAAAGACCCGAAAGATGGTCCAAGCACAGGTAGCTAGGGACAAGAGAGTACAAGGAAAAGGACGAACAAAGAAGACCCAGGAGCAAATGGGAACACAGTGTACACGATCAACCACATATACAGAGACACCCCAATGTATAGAACGGTGCAGCCAGGCACTGAATGACAGGCAAGGAAGGAGTGTCCAGAGAGCATTGACGAAGTCAAGGAAGGAGTGTCCAGAGAGCATTGACGGAGTCAAGGAAAGAGCGTGCAGATAGCAAGGATTGAGTCAATGAATGAGTGTCCAGATATCGAGAAAAGATCCAAGCACAGAAAGACTACACAAAAGGCACAGAAAATAGGGGGCTGCTCCTCACAGGGAACAAAGAACAAGATAAACGAACATAGGAAGGTCACAAGACGACGCAGGCAAAATGGCCAAGCAACACATATTACAACCACACCCCACACTCATCCAAAAATCGAAAACCCGCGCCTGGCTGACAGTGCTGCCAGATTGTATAAACTCACCTGTAGCGTAGACACGACTGTGTCACGACACAGCTGAGCTGTAGAATATTCCGGGAGCATCGCTAGTGGTGTATGTCCAGAGGAGCGAGCACAGGAAGAGAAGAGGAGGCGGAGTGCAGAGGGGGAAGGCGGAGCAACTCCGAGCCACCCCACATCCGCAAGCAGAGAAAAGAACTAGGTGATTTCGCCATACATAAAACCCAGAACACTCCCAGTATCTAAAGGGCTAGGACTGGAAAGACAAGACGAGCAAGAACGGCGTATAACCCGTGACATAAGACGTGGAACACCAACCCATGAGTACTCCGCCCATAAACAAAACGGACACCCCTCGGCCTGGAACCTGAGGTCCGAACTGCACCACCCGTCTTACGGGGAGGATGCCAACAAGGAGAAGTGAATGAGTATGAGTAATGTTGAGACAGTATGGAGAGACGATGTGAGTACAAACATCGATAAATAGAAGCGAAAGAAAGAGGACCGACAAATCCGAGAAGGACTGGAGGGAAGCCTCACTGGAAGTCCACTGACGTCCAAATAATATTGTAAGTATCGAAGACATCCGCGAACCTTCAAGAACCCAGAGACCCAAGCATAAAATCACAAAGGCACATAAGGGCCCAACGGCACCCGAGACCCAGTGACAGGCAGGGATCCCGATACAAGGGGAACATGACTGCAACAAGATGTAGAAGAAAACATGTCCAAAACAAAAAGGGGTGAAAAGCACCCAAAGGAAGGAAGGACGGAACCGATGGAACCGATGAAACTGACAGAACCGACGGACCCGACAGACCCAGAGACACGGAACCGAACCCGGGGAGGGGCAGACACAAACCAACATGGAAGCAGAGGGTAAAGGAAAACCCCACACTTAGGAACTGTAAGCCCCGCTCCGAGGGCACCAAAACCCCAGCAGGGCGAATGGAGCCAAAACCTCCCAGTCAACCCCTCCCCAGACCCGAGAACCCCCACTGTAGGACCCGGGGCCAAGCCGTCCCTCCAAAGCCCCGGCCTTACAAGAAAAAGCCGGGGCAGCCATAAAAACACTAAGGAAGGGAGCCCACTGGTCTGACCCATATGACACAGCTGGAAGAACAGGCTCGAATGCCTCCACCGCTACCCCGGAAGAGGTCACCCCGAGACTGCCCGAGTCTCAACACCAACTAGACCCCTGCCCTGACTCCGAAACCCTCAGACGTGTCAGAGCCGGAAGCAAGGGGGAGGAACCGGATGTACAACAGAAGGGGAAGGACTGGAAGGGGCGGATGGAACCAGAGCCGATGCGACTCCCACCCCCAGGTCCTGGTCCCTATAACCAAAACGGGGCAGTCTCGGGGCATCCGGGGCCACAACCAACCTAGTGCGCTACAACAACCTAAATCTAGCATGCAGCGCAGCAGCTGCCTGCACCCTCATATCATGTTCAGTAGTTTAGGTGAACTGGAGCACGTGTAGACAACACACACCGCACGACTCCTGGTCAAAAGAATCACCGATCCAGTAGGTGACAGTAGGCATGGCGGAGGCACAACTGGTGAGTGTCACCCTAAGACAAGGGGACAGAGCAACCTTCAAACATGGAAGAAGCGAGAAGGGACTCAAAGGTCACATCCATCGGACAACATAGCCCCCATGGGGTTTACCAGGGCCTAGCCTTGGTTGCATGCTAAGGGAAGCCCAGGCAGGGTACTGCGAACCGGTGCCCAAGTCTACCAAACAAACTGCTAAAAGCTGAACCCCCGGGACATGTCCATTTACGGGGGCCCTAGCAGAGGATACTGCCAAAACACAAAATATATAAATATACCCAACAACAGCTAAGGGGAAACCAAGAAGGCAGACCCCCCCACCAGGCAGAAACAAAAATAAAAGAAAACAAGAGGACAATATACCCAGGTGGAACAGAGCCGGCTGCTATAAGTGGTGATAACTAGCTTTATTTAATACTACTGAAATGAGTACTAAAAAATTATTACCATTTTATAGTAAACATTATTACAGTAGGCCTACTGAAAATAAATACTGTACTAGAAATAAGTACCAAACATATTAAAATTATTCTTAAATATTCAAAAAGATTGCTGAAATTAGTAAAGTACAGAACCGAAAATTCATACAACTGAGGTACCACTTGCCAACTTGGTACATTTACTTGATCTGTACATCGTATGCATTCATTCTGAATCTTATTTTTTTCCACCTTGCATCTTTATATGTCTTCAGATTTTTTCCTCCTACATTCCTTTTGCAGAGGAAACTAGATTTCCTTTTACTAAAACTAGAAACTAGAAACTCCTTTTTCAAGAGGAAACTAGATTTATTCCTCCAAGGAGTGCCGGACCAACCGGGCTGTGGTGGGTATGTGGGCCTGCGGGCCGCTCCAAGCAACAGCCTGGTGGACCAAACTCTCACAAGTCGAGCCTGGCCTCGGGCCGGGCTTGGGGAGTAGAAGAACTCCCAGAACCCCATCAACCAGGTATCAACCAGGTACATCCTCAGTGTACTACTGGGGAATCTGGGCTCAATTTCCGGGAAGGCTACAAATGGTTTGGCATATTTTTTAATTCAAAATGATCTGCTACCAAAAAATTTTGCCAAATATACCCAGTTTGCTAACTGTAGGTAGTAAATGGGGAATTGTAACTTATCCACCAGTGCCCACTGGTTAAGGGGTGGTGTGAAGGATAAACATATCAATAATTACACTATCTGTTCACATATGTCAGTTGCTTAACACTCTGGCATCGTGATGACGTTCACGTAGTCATTAAAACAATATACGCAGTTCAAGGCATGATGTCAACGCAGTCAACAATTAATTTTTGCTTATTCTTATAGTAAGTATAAACATTGTGAATGAAAAAGTTTACCATTCGGTTGTGCGCTCATGTGCAATGCCAGGCCTACTTTTTGGTGCGATGCAGGTGGCCCACTGGGCAGTGAAAATGTTAATTTATAGACTACTTATACATTTACAGTAGTTGTTCTCGAGCCCATTGTTAACATAACAATGAGCACTGAATTTTGTAACTAGCTCTTCAAAACTGTAACTTGCTTAACTAAATACATTTGGGGGTTCAGTCCCCTGAGCCTATTACTTTATGTGCTTATGTAACCCTTTCATCTACTGCCAACAGGATGGGTATAAAATGCATAATAAACTAAACTAAACTCCTTTCACTTGATGACTCTGTTCACCTAGCAGTGAATAGGTATCCTAGGAGTAAGGAAAGTTTTGTGGGTGCATCCTGGGATTAACTATAAGTTTATAGTGAGCCTTAGAGAACTTCAAAAAGCCTTCCTGTCAACAACAGTAATCAGTGCATGCATGTTTAGGCCATCTACAGCCTTTACACAAATATTGTACTTAGCTCATAAATTTTATGTTAAACAAACATAATGTAAGTTGATTATGAGCTGGATGCTGCCTTCACAATGAGCAGCAACACTGCTCCAGGTGAGGGCAGTGAGGGCATGGCTTATTGACCTTGAAACTATTTCCCCTCTGTGTGGCATACTGTACCTTACACTTATGTCTATAAAATAAATGAGTAGTAAGCTCAAAATTACGCATTCTGTTAAACTATTACTAGAAATTTACTTTGTGTATCCAAGGAAATTATCCAAGTATCCAAATATTACAGTATTTGGTCACCTGATAGTGTTAAAAATCCCCCAAAAATAAGATTGACCTCAAACAGTACTTTACTACTATAGATATTTTACTAATATACTGGCACTCTTTTTTTTCCCCAATGATGTTGATTAGTGTCGATATTGTATAAAGTATACAGTATATACCCATTTCAATGAAACAGACTCACATTGGCATTCAGGTGTCCACCAGCAAGCACTTTCTGTGGCTTCTCTCCTCCCATTACTAGTGTGGCAAACTGCACTGGGTAAATTCCTATTTCCAGGGTGACTCCTCCGCCAGTTTCTTTCTTCCTGTGGGAAGTAGTAGAACTTTGGGGTCACAACTACTAGTGTACACAGTTCTGGGCTTAATTAATGTTGAGTGATAAAAACATTATTATACATCAATATTAAATATTCTTACAAGTATAATTATACCCCTAGATCTTTCTCTATGTAAGTGGATGTGTGGGATGAGTGAGTGGTGTGTGGGGGTGGGACCAGGTGGTATTGTTATAGTAGGTATGTGGTTATGCATGGATTTGAGAGGGTTGGTGGTGGATGGGGGAGTGAGGGGTGATGATGGATGTCATGAGGAGCTGGTAGGTATAGAAGTATGGGGAGGTTAGTGCAATTGTGGGTTAGGATTTGCGTGGAGTGGTGTGGGTGGGTGTACATAAGTATGGAGGGTGGTGGGTTAAGGGGTAATGGTTGTGTGGGAGGCATGCAGTGAAGTTGTGTGGGGTATCTTGAGGTTATCTTGAGATGATTTCGGGGCTTAGTGTCCCCGCAGCCTAGTCCTCGACCAGGCCTCCACCCCCAGGAAGCAGCCCATAGCAGCTGTCTAACTCCCTGGTACCTATTTACTGCTAGGTAACAGGGGCATCAGGGTGAAAGAAACATTTTGCCTATTTGTCTCCGCCTCCACCGGGGATTGAACCCGGAACCTCAGGACTACGAATCCATAGCGCTGTCCACCCAGCTGTCAGGTGCCCTGGTAGGGTAGGCTGGCCATTTAGCAGGGTTGGGAGGTGGATGGATGTAGATGGGTAGGGGGTTGAGCAGATTATGTGGCAGTAAAGGAATGGCCAGTACTATAAAGTATTGTCATGTGGCAATAGGATAAAAACTATTATTTGTGGAGTGATGGCAGCCTTGTTCTTCCAATTTCACCCTGAATGGTAAGAAAGCAGGCAACCCATCCTTCTACAACAGTAGTACATACAGTATAAGAATAATAGTGTACATGTAAAATAAAAAAAAAATTAAAATAAAAAATAAAAAAGCCTACACTACCCTAATATAAGTTTGTTAATCTTTTTTATTTTGATCAACTCAAGTCCCAATGTTCCTGAAATTTTCTTTTTACTCCAGGTACAATACCTACTGTATTATCACAATCCACATACTGTACATCCGTATCATAATTTTTCCGTTACCTCGGGGCATTACTTGAGTCAACTTCTGTACAAGAAAGACATTACTCTAGGCCTCGGCTACACACACACACAATGGGCAGAAAACATATGCCATACTCAGACTTACAGCAGCCTCTCTATATTCTCCACTGATTCACCAAAGGAACAGATAACTTGCACCACTTCTCCAATCTCTCCTGACTTGATTCTTCTTATCATCTCCTGGTACAGAGGGAAGAACCTTGACCATACTGCCTAAAAGAACACAAAATTAATATATTTTCCTTGCAAATTGTAAAAAAAAACAAAAAAATTATTTATTTAATATATTTATTTATCAGTAAGCAAAGCTTGAATGGTCCCCAAGCACATACACATACTGTATATCACTTAAACTAAACTTAAGACCCCTCACAGGATTCAAACCCCAGCTGCCAGGGGTCTCCCATATCAGCAGCACTGGTATTCAGACCACTGCACCAGTGATCGTCCTGGTGCAATAGTCAGAGTACCAGAGCTGTTGATGGGGGGAGACCCCTGGCAGCCTGGAACAAACTCCCTTTACTTTCTTCTCAGTGTTCATATTTTGTAACCACTTAGTTGATATTAAAGTACAGTGGAACCTCTATTAACGAGTTTAATCCGTTCTGGCACCGAGCTCGTTACCTGGAAAACTCGTCTTTGGAAACAAATTTCCCCATTTAAAATAAAGGAAATAAATTTAATCCGTTCCACTCCCAAAAACATCCATACTTGTATGACTTTTTTTTATGTAAATATAATACTGCACATGTAAATATAAATGTTTTGTTGTAGTGTTTTAATATTTACTTTACCTTATGAAGAGTAGTTGCTGGCTTGAGGGAGACGATGGAGAGGTGGGAAGGAGGAGAGGGGTTATGGTGTGGAAGGAGAATCCACCTCTGAGTCAGGCGCTCTCTCTCTTCTTGGGAATTTCACCCAAATTTCATTTCAAATGTCACACAAGGATGCGTTAGGCCAGCACCAAATAAAAAACTATGTTGATTACACTCGTTGTGTCAACAATATAATAGTCTTACCCCGAAGATACAATACAATGCCGTTTTCTCAAATAGGCAATGTGGTTATTAAAGAAAACGGAAATTTCATGGCAAACTTGTATACAATCCCCAAGTCGATCGGATAAGAATTGAATTTTATAGAAATATTTGCTCAAATGACGCTTGAGCGCGGTGTTTGGGTGCATTCAAGAGAAAAAAAGTGTGTTACGTTCAAGCGACATATACCTGCGAAAGTGATAACACTTTCATAAAGTGTTATCACAAAGTGATAAATTAATTAAACATTTTCATACACCGGGTTGTCACTGCTTTATCAGGGCAGCTTTTCCAAGAATGCGTTCACCTTTTCAAACATTCCAAACACTTCCTTGATCTCAGTTTAAGAGGCAGCATCCTCCCTTACCTCCTCATTCCCTTACTAATGGTGTAAATTGTTGATGAGGACCTGCCATACTTCCTTGTGAGATCAATCACACAGACACCACACTCATGCTTTGCTATAATTTCCTTCTTTTAATCCACAGTAATTGTGTCTTTCTTCCTCTTGACAACACAATCTTTAGCAAGCAGCTTCTTTGGAGACATCGTGTGTTACAAATTGTAGTCGCAAAACCACTAAAAACCCAAAGAAAAGCTCAAATAAATCCAGAGGGATGCTTGTCGTGTGAGATAGAACAACAACACTGGCGTCGGAGGCGTCCGAGAATTTGCGAGAACCCGCGAGACGCTAGGAAGCGCCATGTGGTTTCACTCGTTAATAGAGGCGAGCTCGTCAATAGAGACAAATTTGCTGCGAGTGGCTTGCTCGTTACTGGAAAAACTCGTTAATAGAGCCACTCGTTAATAGAGGTTCCACTGTACTGTATAAAATAAGAAAAATAAAAAAAGGGGTGGTAGGAGAAACAAATACTATGTATTTAGAATCAAACGACAAGTTTTCTCTGATTGCTTTTCATTCACTTCTCCAAAAACATGGGCTTTAGGCCCATGTCCTTGTTGACATGGGCTTAAAGCTGAGTGTATACTACAGAGATGTGGATGACATATTCCTGCAAGTACCTGATACTGAGCACTTGATGAGGCTTAGGAATGCATTTGAATGAAGTTCAGTGCTACTATTCACTTATGAGATTGAGAGAGGAGGTAGACTACCTTTCCTAGATGTAATAGTCTCAGTAGGGAATGGAGGCTTTAACACTGCAGTCTACACTAAGGTAACTAACATGGGAATGTGCCTAATGCTAAGAGTGAGTGCTCTGATAGGTACAAGTGGGTGTTGTCAATGCCTATGTTAACTGTGCCCTCTCGCACAGCTTCAATTGGAAGTAGGTTGACGAGGAACTCGGTAAAGTAAGGCAGGTCCTAATCAATAATGGATACTTTAACGCATATGTCGAGGAAATCATCAAAAGAAGGCGAGTCGCCATGCAACTTCAGATATAACAGACAACAGTAAAATATTGGACCCCTACTAATTAAGTATTCCACAGGAACTTCTTTGCCATGGCCCATAAAACTGATGAGAGGATCCTGAAAAATATTATTGATAGAAATGTGACCCCTACTGGCACCAGAAGATTAAACTAATAATATACTATAAGAACAAGAAGACTGCCAACTTCATCAGGAAGAATTCCCGACATCAAACGAATGTCGTCTACGCCTTCACCTGCCCACTTGGGGACTATCAGCCCCAATGAATTCAATATACTGTACTATATAGGCAAGACAACAGTATCCCTATCAAGACATCTAAAAATGTACAAGCAGCAAGACCCTATTAAGGAACATATAGTCTCTATACATAACCAAACCATCACCAGATATCCTGACAAACAACACCAAAATAATGGATCGATACAGCAACAACAGACGATTGAACATCGGTGAGGCACTAAACATCAAGCAAACCAAGCCATGTATCAATAACCAACTACCACCAAATTATACTGTGCCAACTTCCAGAACATGATGGAACATACACCATACTGCCCCAGCTATTATGCAACCAGGAGATTAACAAGATACAATGGCCCAATGAGTGAGGTGCTCCACCTTCACCTCATCCTCGAATATATATCATGCAGCAAGAAAATTTGTAATCATTTGAACTCTGTATTTGACAATGATAACAGACTTAATGAAATGCATCCTTAAGTGTCAGGCCAAATAAAACTAAAAATGAACTTTTGGAGAGTGATTTTTTTAACTTCCTTCTCAAGTGAAGACAAATTTAAGGAAAATAGAGAAGATTCATGCTAGAATCATTGATACATATGGAACGGAACACAAAAGTATTATACAATTGTTAATTTTCTTACAGATATTTTCTCTTCTATGAACAAGCACTGTGCTCAAATACTAACCTCCATCAGGAAAACCTTCTTTTTCTCAGCAAGTTGAATAAGCTGCTTAGTCTCCTTCACATTTAAACCAAGGGATTTCTCACAAAGGACATGTTTCCCAGACTGGATCATGAGGGAAGCAGCAGCGAGGTGCTGTGTCTGGATTGTGCCAATATACACCACCTCTGTAAAATATATTTTGATATACTGTAAAATTTGCAGAATTCATAATATATATAATTTGTATTGTCAGGGACAGGAATCTTGTACTTAAGATCCTTGAGGTCCCCCTAGACCAACTTTTAAATAATTAATTTACTGTATTCATCTTATGCCTACAATGCTCTGTGTATTAAAGGCTTCCTTTAATATGCTTTTTCTGTGACTACAGAAAAAGCATATTAAATGTTTTTTTCTTAAATAATTGGGGCCTTCAATCGTTCCTGATGGTTTTATCCAACTGGATTTTGAACTGAAGTAATATCTTGGCATTTATGTCTTGAGCATATGTTAACAAAGTCCAGAAAACACACCAGCTCCTCACCAACTTACCTACATCAGGATCCTGAGCAAGCTCTGCATATGACCCATATGCCTTTTCCACTCCATTTCTTGATGCAAAGCTTTTTGCACTGTCAAGTGAGCGTGCAGCTACAGCCACTAGGCGGTGCTCCCCTGAGGGTAAGGCCTTCAATGCATTTACAAAGTCATTGGAGATCAGACCGGCACTTACTATGCCCCAACGTGTTGCCATGTTGCTGCTGAAATGTCAAGTCAAATCTGAAATGGGAACATTGTAACTGCTGAAAATTATTATAGCATTGTATATGATTTTAACTTATTTAGTTTCATACAGAGTAAAATTTTTAAATAATTTTCATGAAATAGTGTTACTCATTGCAAAACTTCTTCATGTACATATCCAGAATTCTGACCGAGTTATAAAATACATTTATAAAATCACAAATACAGTACAGTACAGTACAGTAAATCAACTATAACACCTTACTGACTAGCACCCTTACCACTTACTACACTTCAAATCCCATCCACCATTTTAATGTTATATTAACACTGCAATGGTACTGTCGTAGGAATAATAATAATATTTTTGCTGGTTATGAGTTATCTTATACATCATCCCTTAAATAATATCCCTAAGAGTACAGTTCAACAATTGATTTACATTCTCCATCTGTGTAATTTCATAAGTGTAGTTACAGGATGAGAGCTATGCTCATGGTATCCCATCTTCCTAATACAGTATTCTGTCATATGATCCTTTGAAACTACTGACAGTTTTGGCCTCCACCACACTGTCACTTAACTTATTCCAACCATCTACCATTCTGCTTGCAAAAGAGAACTTTCTTATGTTTTTTCGGCAGCATTGTTTCCTTAGTTTGAACCAGAGTCTTCTTGAAGTTGCAGTTATTCTTCTTTGTTAAAATTGTTAACAAATTCTTCTTTGTTAATTTTGTCGAGTCCTATTACTATTTTGTATGTAGTGATCAAATCACCTCTTTTCCTTCTCTTCTAGCCTTGGAATACAGTATTTAACATTTATAGCCTCTCCTTGTAGCTCTTTTTTTTGTTAATTTCGGAAGCCATTTAGTTGCATGTCTTTGCACTTTTCCCAGTTTATTGATAATTCAGTAATATAAATCATTGTGTTTGGGGACAGGAAGTCAGAGTGTATTCATACACGTTTTGGCTTTTATCGAGATCCCCCTCACCCCAAGGCCAAATTACTGACTCCGCCCAGGATACAACCCCCACAACAAGCTGACTAATTCCTGAGTACCTACTCACTGTTAGGCAAACAGCAGCATTAGTTGAAAGGAAAAGCACCCAACCATTTCTGTCCCACCCAGGATTCGAACCTGGAATTCTCAATTGTGCATCGATAACGAACCCAACTGTACTACCGGGACTGATGTGTTTCTTGAGATATAAACCACCATACAAACAATACATATTCCAATCATGAACAATTTCTTGAATAATTCACCATCCATGTATTTAAAAGCGATTCTAAAGTTGGAAAGCGTAGCTCCTCCCACAATGTTCTTTATGTGGTCCTCGGGTGACAGTTTACTATTCAGAACCTGAGATCTCTTTCTTTATCAGAATTATTTACAGCCTTTTCACATCATTTATAGGTTGCATGTGGTCTATTATTTCCTATTTCATGTTCCATAATGTGGTATATATTCACATTAAATTCTATTTTCCTAGTTTATTCCATATACTTTGTCCAAGTCTTCTTGTAGGACATGACAACTTTCTAAGTTTCTTACCTTTCCTAGTAGCTTGGCATCATCAGCACATGTGAGTACATGTCCTGTGTGTGCCTCTTTCTCTGTCTATATGTGTACATGTGTCTGTGTCTACATGTCTATGTCTATACTATGTATGTCTACATGTATGAACGTCTACATGTCTCTGTGTTCATATTCTCTTCATTTGCACGTTCTGTTCTGTTCACGTTCTTGACTCGGTGTTTAGAGGTATGCCACCAAGCTAGTCCCCAAGCTGAGGGGTATGAGCTACAAGGAAAGATTACTGGAACTAAACCTCATGACTTTGGAAGACAAAAGATTTAGGTGAGACATGATCACTACCTATAAAATTCTCAGAGGAATTGACAGGGTATATTATTATAAACTGTTTAGTACAGGTAGGATGTGAACAAGGGGACACAGGAGGAAACTTAGTACCCAAATGAGCCACAGGGACATTAGAAAGAACTTTTTCAGTGTCAGAGTAGTTAACAGTGATGTGGTGGAGGCTGATTCCATACAGTTTCAAATGTAGATATGATAGAGCCCAGTAGGCTCAGGAATTTGTACACCAGTTTATTGATGGTTGAGAGGCAGGACCAAAGAGCCAGAGCTACACCCCCCACAAGCACAACTAGGTGAGTAAATAGTTTCTATGTTCACATGTCTATGTCTACATGTCCCAATATCTGCACGTCTACAATTTTTTGTCTAATGTCTTCATCACCATATGTCTACACATCTATGTCTACATTTACCTGTAATACAGTTACCTATATAATTCACACACGTTTGTCAAAATGTCCCTATGTCTACATGTCTATGTCTTTACATCCGTCTGTCTACATATCTCTTATGTCTACACCTTTGTGTGTCTATTTGTATTTGTATTTGTATAATTTGTTTCGTTAGGGACAGGAAGCCTGTATGTTATCATCCTTAATTGCACTCAACCCCTTTAAGACTGCAATTGCAATTCTGCAACTTTTTTTTAAAGACATAACTGTAACATGCATGTATGTATATGTATGTACATATATCACAATCGGGAATCCCGGGTTGGAACCCCGAGCGGGACGGAAGAACTAGTTGGGCAAGTTTCCCCTATCACCTGATGCTTCTACTCACCCAGGAGTCAGTAGTGCCACCTTGTGAGGGGAAGGGGGGGGGGGGGGAAAGAGACCTCCATATACATGCCTCAAGTATACATATACACACACGCTTCCTCCCCCAGACAAACCCAATTAGTATTAGAGTTTTTTAAATATTATACTGCATATATAATAATGTTACAATGAAAAAGGCACAGAAATGACTACATAAAGTGTCGCATCCAAGGTGGTTGTTAAGGAGTGTATTCCTTGGCAAAGTGTGTCCAAGGGGTACTGTACATCTCTCAAATTTACTTAATATTAAACATGACACACTGCATACTTTAAATATTCTAAAGTGGCCTCCACTGATACTCCATGTGGCTCGATACTAAATGTGAACAGTGTGTATCACCAGAATATAAATATTAAAGAGAGGCGAGGTGCAGGAGGTACCTTGAGCGGCCGGGGGTGAGCACTGACCTTCACACTACGCCTGCCCGCCCGCCAGGAGCTCCCACCTGTTGATTATATTATCTATCCCTGCCCTAAACGCTTTACGTAATACTGTAGTGGCTTTAGGCATTGTATGTACTAGCTCTATCTATAAATCCATCAACTTTTTGTATCTTACCTTGTATGTATGTACTTTACCTGAATAAATATTGAATTGAATTGAATTGAATATTATACATTTCCTTACTTCTTTTTATATCAATGCCATGTTAGATATTTATTTTTACTGGTGAAATAATTAGACTATTCCTTAAAATGGAGATATATATATACTGTATATATAGTGTGTGTGTGTATATATATATATAGTACATCCACAATACTGTATAGTCTTATCAGATATATATGTTGAGATATGATCTCGTGGGTTGGCATGGAAACAATTAAATTATTAGTGGCTCAGTGTCATGGTGATACTGCTTAAATGAGACCTCTCCTGTTTCTCATATACATCAATGATCTGCCAATTGTTTCTAACATTCTTAAACCTATACTATTTGCGGATGATACTACCTTCATCTACTCAGACCCCAACCCACACATGCACTAAATAACATTCTAAATAAAGAATTAAAAAAATCCAATCATGGGTGTCAACCAACAAACTCACACTAAACATAGAAAAGACCTACTACATTTTATTGGAAGCAAATCATCAAATTAAATTCAACTTCAGAAAGACAATGTTAACATCAGCAATGAAAATGATGGAAAGTTCCTTGGCCTATACTTAGACAAGAGACTCAACTTCAGCACCCACATAACATAAACATACAACACAGCCAAAAAGTTTCAAAACGGTCGGTATACTTTCTAACATTAAATATTATATTCCAAATTCTCCTCTTCTCATTATACTATGCACTAATTTAATCCATCTTACATACGCTATCTGTGCATGATGGGGTTCAACCACTGCAAACTACCTCAAGGCCATCATCACCCAGCAAAATTCTGCTACTGTCTCAGAACAATAACAAACTTCTGTTTTCAGATAACACACAGTCCCTCTGTTTAAATCCCTAAACATGCTAAACATACACTCACTCTACACATTCTCTTGTGCTATTTACATGTACAAAACCTGGTTTCTAAATGCAAATCCTCATCTGAAACTCTTCCTTGACAGATGTAACAGAACCCATAATCACCACACCAGAAATAAATCTCTTTGATATCCCTTTGAGGTGCTTCAGGGGCTTAGTGTCCCCGCGGCCCGGTCATCGACCAGGCCTCCCCAGATTCAAACTAAATTTGTACAAACACTCTATGCAAATAAAGGGACCTAGTCTATGGAACTCACTCCCTAATGAAGTAAAAAGCTGTCCAACCTTTGCCTTATTCAAAAGTAAAACCAAAAATTACCTCTTTTTCATTCTAATAGTTTTCTACCTTGTGCTACCCATTTCCCCAATATGTGCCTAAGACATGCAACTTCACAATTGTAATCACTGCTATCAACTTATATCATAGTTGTTATGTTGAATGCAAATTTTATTTCTATGTACCCATTAATAATCCTCAAATTAAATAAATAAATAAATTATTAAAATATAAGGAGCAGAATAATTATATGACTAAAACTTACCTGATGCATGCAGCCGCATCTTGCATTATTTAATTTTCGTATCTTATTTGTATACTACCAGCTGCACCTGAACTTGAAGATCTTCCTCAGATGTATCTATTTTTTTGTAGTCCTCTATACCCATTATCTTATACATATTGTGATTTTGGCATTTTCAAACCAATTAATTCTGAATCCTTTCCCTCATAGCTGGTTCACATCAACCCTGCAGTAGGGTATTACACTCTAAATTCATAATAATACATTACATTATTTTCCTTGTGCTTTGCCGCTCCTTTAGATGTGTGGAAACAGGCTAACATAGTTCCAATCTACAAAAGTGACAGTAGGGAAGACCCCCCCTCTCAATTACAGACCTGTATCATTGACAAGTGTAATAGTCAAAATATTGGAAAAAATAATAAAAACTAAATGGGTAGAACACCTGGAGAGAAATAATATCAGACAGACAGTATGGTTTTCGATCTGAAAGATCCTGTGTATCGAATTTACTCAGTTTCTATGATAGAGCCACAGAGATTTTACAGGAAAGAGATGGTCGAGTTGACTGCATCTATCTGGACCTAAAAAAGGCTTTCGACAGAGTTCCACATAAGAGGTTGTTCTGGAAACTGGAAAATATTAGAGGAGTGACAGGTAAGCTTCTAACATGGATGAAGAATTTTCTGACTGATAGAAAAATGAGGGCAGTAATCAGAGGCAATGTATCGGACTGGAGAAATGTCACAAGTGGAGTACCACAGGGTTCAGTTCTTGCACCGGTGATGTTCATTGTCTACATAAATGATCTACCAGTTGGAATACAGAATTATATGAACATGTTTGCTGATGATGCTAAGATAATAGGAAGGATAAGAAACTTAGATGATTGTCATGCCCTTCAAGATGACCTGGACAAAATAAGTATATGGAGCACCACTTGGCAAATGGAATTTAATGTGAATAAATGCCATGTTATGGAATGTGGAATAGGTGAACATAGACCCCACACAACCTATAAATTATGTGAGAAATCCTTAAAGAATTCTGATAAAGAAAGAGATCTAGGGGTGGTTCTAGATAGAAAACTATCTCCTGAGGACCACATAAAAAAAAGTTGTGCGAGGAGCCTATGCCATGCTTTCTAACTTCAGAATTGCTTTTATATACATGGATGGCGAAATACTAAAGAAATTGTTCACGACTTTTGTTAGGCCAAAGCTAAAATATGCAGCGGTTGTGTGGTGCCCAAAAGAAGCACATCAACAAACTGGAAAAGGTACAAAGACATGCTACTAAGTGGCTCCCAGAACTGAAGGGCAAGAGCTACGAGGAGAGGATAGAGGCATTAAGTATGCCAAAAATAGAAGACAGAAGAAAAAAAGGTGATAAGATCACTAAGTACAAAATAGTAACAGGAATTTATAAAATCAACAGGGAAGATTTCCCGAGACCTGGAACTTCAAGAACAAGAGGTCATAGATTTAAACTAATTAAACAAAGATGCCGAAGAAATATAAGAAAATTCACTTTTGCAAACAGAGTGGTAGATGGTTGAAACAAGTTAAATGAGAAGGTGGTGGAGGCCAAAACCGTTAGTAGTTTCAAAGCGTTATATGACAAAGAGTGCTGGGTAGACAGGACACCACGAGCATAGCTCTCATCCTGTAACTACACTTAGGTAATTATTAATATTTTAAAGACATGTCTACTGTTTTATTTGTTGCATCAGACACTAACTACAGATGCCCCACACAGCACTCACTAACCCAATTTGTAATAGCCAAGTAGCATGTGACAGCATTCTTTAACACTTCTGGTAAATTTTCCTTCTGTTGCTGTAATTACCCGAGTGTAGCTACAGGATGAGAGCTATGCTCGTAGTGTCCTGTCTTCCCAGTACTTGTCACATGATGCTTTGAAACTATTGATAGTTTTGGCCTCCACCACCACCTCATTTAGGCTGACTCCATACATAGTTTCAAATGTAGATATGATAGGGCCCAGTAGGCTCAGGAATCTGTACACCAGTTGCTTGACAGTTGAGAGGAGGGAGCAAAGAGCCAAAGCTCGACCCCGCAAGCACCACTAGGCGAGTACTTAACTTGTTCCAACTGTATCATTGTTTGTAAAAGAACTTTCATTTTTTTTTTTTTGGGGTGGGGGTGGGGGTGGGGGGTGGGGGGGGCAACTTTGTTTTCTTACTCTGAACCTGTCTTCTTCTTGAAGGTCCAATTTTGAAAAGTTCTTCTTTGTCAATTTTGTTTATTGTTACTATTTTGGATGTAGTGATCACATAACCTCTTTCTTCTACGTCTAGCTTTGGTGTATGTAACACCTCTAACTTCTCCTCATAACCTATTTTTTAGTTCCAGAAGCCATGTAGTTATAAGTCTTTGCACCTTCTCTAATTTATTGCTGTGCTTGCGATATGGGCACCATACAACCACTGCATATTCTAATTTTAACTTTACAAAGGTCCTAAACAATATCTTTAATATTTTGCCATCCATGTATTTAAAAGTTACTTTCAAGTTGAAAAGCATAGCATACTCTCTTCAAACATGTTTATGTGGTACTCTGATGACAGTTTTCTATCCAGAACCACCCCTAGTTCTCTATCAAAATTCTTTAAAGTTTTTACACATAATTTTTAAGTTGTATGTGGCCTATTCCACATCCCATAATGTGGCATTTATTTACATTAAATTCCATTTGCCAAGTGTTACTCCGTACACATTTTGTCCAGGTCTTCTTGAAGGGAATGACAATTATCTAACTTTCTTATCTTCCCTAGTAGCTTCACATCATCAGCAAACATGATCATATAATTCAGTATTTCTGCCAACTGACTTAAATGTTGAACTAGCAAAGAAAATTAAGCTTATTTAAGTTGATTTTTACATCTGAAAAAAATTTGTTAATGAAAATAACACTTGGAGAATTTTGCATTAGCTACATGACTGAATTGTATAGTCTACAGTAGACCTTTTTTCATATTGAGAATTAGAGCAAAGAGCTAAAACCAGGTACATTATTTAGTGTCATGTCTTCCTTCAAGAAACAATCAAATAATCATTATACACCCAGGTGTTTTTCTTTCCCCAAATTGCTCCTAGCTACACATGAATGAACCAAGTGAAGGAATGATATGTAGCAGTTCCACTCTGTTCAAGATTCAGATCATAGTCCTCTCACGTGCCTGGTGAGTACAGTATACATGACAGAGCCCCCACTGGAAATTCTTCAAGAGATGTCAAATTATGTAACAAAATGGCATCTATTAATAAAGTTAAAACAATGCTTCCACAAATATTCAGATCTCATCCATACATGCGCATAATCAAATTTGAGCATGGAATACAAATATCTGAGTAAAGCAAGCAACTAATAACAATAAGATATACTAATATGTTGCTTTATAATGCCCTATTATTTCAAGTAATTTAACATC